TTGTACAGGAGGGAAGCTCAGACTTTCTCTTTGAAGCTCTCTTAATTGAATCTGCTGGAGCAAACTAGTAGGCAGATCGGCGGGAGAAGCGGCGTACCAATTTGTTAACGCGCGTCTGTGCAGAGGAGCCGCGTGAGATGCGAAACCCAGAGGAGGACCAGATGGTTGAGACCTAAATACTTTCATCCCAGGGGAGAGAGAAGTAAAGGTGGGGGAGGCCGCAGGAAAACTGAAGAGGGGGAGTAAATGATTTTGAGGTGAGAAAATGAGCCTGGAGAAGAGACAATGGCATGGGACAAAGTTCCTGTGCGCTCTAGGTGTGGCGTTTGATTTCCAGTCTTCGCCGTGATAGGAGTTTAATCTTCCTTGGTTAATGAAATTTCAGTAAGAAGATTGAAGGCCATTGTGCTCCTCGTTGGCAGACCCAGTCATTAGGCAGGCAAGGGAACTTCAGAGAAAGCCCTTCCCTGCATTTGCAGCTCCACGGGGGACTCTCAGTTTGAAGTCCAAAGCAGCATATTTTGGATTATCATTTTCTGAGCCCCAACATCATTTGAATTTTTTTTTCTCTCTCTCTCTCTGACTTGAACAACAATGGAGAAGGGAAGCAGGGTGCCTTGGCTGATCTGGGATTCTCAGGGTGTTCACTAAGCACAGATTCTCGGGCTCCATCCCTGGGGATTCTGCATCAAAGGGCAGAGTCCAGACATCTGTAATTTTAACAGGCAGCTCAGAAGTTTGCTGTGGCTTGGATGCCTCTTTGGAACCACAGGCGCAATGACCATACGGAGCTGAGTTGGAATCTCCAGTTCTGCAGTGTCCTGATTATGCAGATCTGAGCAGCCTCTCAACCGGAAAATGAAATCCTAGTTACCTTTATAAGCTTTGGCGGAGGTTGAATAAAAAGCATGTGTAGAACAGCCAGCCCAAGGCCTAGATCAGGACAGAGGCTGTAGTTCTTATGGGACTACGGTCCGTTTCCTTCCTTTCCCAAGTGCCACATCCAGTTCTGCCTCCTGATTCCTCGGTGAAGGTGGTGGGGCCCCCCTTCCTCAGCGCACCTCATTTCCTGCTCCCAGAGCATTATTTCCATCCAGATGCCTGCAGCTCATCTTCAGCTGGGATTTACCTGCCTCTTCATCCATGCTTCTGTTTGTGGCCCAGTGGACCAAAGTGGCAGAGGACACTACAGCAGTGCTGGTCGTCTTAGAATACCTGTTTGTTGGTGCCATTTAGTCAGCACCTGCTTGTTGAGTGTCTGTTCCAAGGTACACTGCAGCAAGCAAAATAAGTAGAGGGTCCTGAAAGTCTAAAATAGAGGGAGAGAAGTGAGAGCCGAGGACAGACCGTGGAAACAGAAACCACATGTGGAAATTTCCCGAAACCGAAGGAACTTTGGCTTCTATGGCAGGTAACAGGAGCCAGGGCAGGGTATTGAGCAGAGGAGGGATGGGATCTGACTGGGTCTTTTCAGACTCCCCTTGGCTGCTGTGTTGAGAGTGGTCTGTAGGGGGCAGTGTTGGGAGCCAGGAAGCAGTGGGGAGGCTCTTGCAGTAATCCATTCAAAGAGTTGGTACCCGACGACTGGAAGGAAAGAGGGGGTGGTGAAAAGTGGTCAATAAAGGCTGTGCTTGGAAAGTAGGGTCAGCTGGAATAATTGCTTGTGCATTTGATGTAGAGTGTGAGAGAAGAGTCAAGGGTAATGCCAGTGTTTGGGGCTTGAAGAAATGGAAGGATAGAGCCCCATTTCAGAGATGGGGGAGGGGTGCATTGCAAAAGGAGCTTATCAGAAACTCAGCTTCTTGAAATTCAGTGTGGCCTCTGGTACCTCATCTCCGAGAGAAATTGGAAAGGCACCTCTCCTCCTCATTTGAAGTTCAATTTTTTTCTTTTTTT